TAAGGAATACGTTAATAGTATTAAGTTATATAAGATCTAGGTCGTAAGCGGCCGTAATAGCTATAATAGTATAAAAGGTACTAAAAGTAAGAGTAGTCGTATAGATATCTTTAAAGATAAGTTATAAGTCTCCTTATATATATATATATACCTTAAACTTACTTAAGTAGCCGTCGTTATCGAATTTATATTTAAATACCTAAATAAGAGAAAGGATATTACATCTATTTATACCTTTAGTAGAGACTAGTACGAAGATTTACTTACGTTTAAGTTCCTCGTATTTAACCCTCGCGACTTTCTTAAATTTCTTTCGAAATAGATAATTAGCGAGTTATTTCTATAATTTTAGCTTAGAAGAAAGAGTATCTCTATATACTCGTTAGAAATCTTTTTCGATAGTAAAGACGGCGGCGAAGATAGAGTAATACGCTACTAGACTATTATTAATACTATTATCTTTAAGTATAGCGATATACGTCTATTTTCTCGGTTTTAAACGTTATCTTATCGTAATAATATTTCTTTTATTAAAATCTACTAAGATATTAGTATATTAAGAGACTTAGACTATCTTATTTTAGTCTAGAGACGCCTAATAGAGTAAGTCTTCTATAGTTACCTCCTTAAATATATATATTTATAGTTCTTCTTCCTAAATTTCTTCTCTTCTTTCTTATTTTCTTATTAAGAAAAGATCGGCCTCCGCTAGAGACTAATTCTTTACTATAAATAGAGAGGGATTTAACGATATCGATAGAGGTTTAGCGCCGCTAGAGATACCCTCTCGTTTAGGCTCGCGTCTCTTCGAGAAGCTCTCTTAAGTAGGGGTATCCTAGCGCGCGGCTCGAGCGGCGGAGTTCTCTCGACTAGTAGCGCGGCGAGAGCCCTCGATACTTTCGATTATAGATCGCGAGTCTTATAAGCCTACGATTACTTCTATAGTAGCTATCGGCTCTATAGATATCGCTAGTTAAAAAGAAGAAGAAGAAGATTTAAATATAGTATTAGAAGTAAGATATATATCTATAGAATTACGTATAGTTAGCGCTTTACGTAATTTAATCTTCTCGGCCTCTAATTAGCTAGAAATTAACGTCGTTTAAGACTCTTAAGCTTCTAATTAGTCGGAAGTAGTTTCCGAATAATTCGGTACTAAGCCGTTTTTAGAATTAATTAGAATTATATCTATTTTAGATATCGACTCGTATACTTCGATATCTAGCTAAATTAACTTAATTAATAGTAACTTATTATCTTTATATAGAAGTAGTAAAAATATCTTATTATCGTTAAAGATAATATCTTATATTTATATAATCTAGCCTTTATTAGATCGCTAGATTCGAAAGATATTTATTAAATCGTACTCGACGAGATACCTAATCTATACGCGTTATTAAAGTTTATCTTTTCGTAGAATATTATACTATAATACGTAGGCTTTATAGCCGTATATATATATATATAAGATATTAGGTCGTCG